CAACAAGGCAACGAGGCAGAGAGAGAATTTAAACAAAAACCCCGTAAAACTTTTTTTTTAGTAAAACTCCTTGCCCGGCGGCAGTCGCGCTTGCGACCACTAGGCCAACGAGGCAGTCACCATCAATAATATACATATAATATTACAATATAGACGTGTGATTGTGCTGTTTTGTAGCTTATTCACAAATTAAATTTATAGTTTCAGTATCCTTATTTGCTTCCTTTTATATAAAACTAATAACTTTATTACGTTCAATAACAACAAAATAAATGTCACATTATTGGACTCCTCTACTTACCCCTTCTTTAATATTTATTTATCGTTCTTACTATGTCAACTAATACGTATATGTTACTTATTTCAGCTTTTATTTCCTGTTGTGTGACGGATATGAAACTTCATTACCCAAGGTAACTTTGTTATTGAAAACATATTTTCAGGATTTCACCGAACGTTATGTTCAACAAGTTCCTGTATAATTCAGTTCGGATATGTTTTTTGATTTCAATTTTGATACTTCTCAGTTCATTGATCCTACACTGTGCATACACAGACATGTATATGAATTAATTATTTATGTTTTTAGCGACCCAGCAGCGCGACAGTCGCCGTGTCTCAGGTCGCAGAATGCTTCTCATGAATGTGAGCCTCTAGCATGGCTTGAAACTAGTCGAGTTCCTCGTTAAACATTTGCGTGAGTCAGCCGAGAACATAATAAACAATTTAGTATGTCTCATGAAAGTTTTAATATATACAGACATGTATATATCTGTACATTTTTATGTAATATCCATTTTCTTTATTCTGTAGATACGGACGAGCGACACAACAGATGCTGTTCTGTTCATAATTTAATTTAAAAATGCGTCAATCTTCTGAATGGCACTTATCGGAGAGCGCTCCAAAAATGTACCCATTTTTCGGTTTAACGCGATATTTTCATAATAAATTAACATTTTTCTTTATAAAGTGACTTTTTATAATAAAATCTTTGCTGTGTTACTTTGTACTCATACATACATAACCTCACGCCTCTCTCCCATTGGGGTAGGTATAGAACGCCAATTGCTACGAACAGTCATCAGTCTTTTCATGCATACTCGACTGTTACTTTGGATTCACAACAGAAAAAGTAAAAAAAAAAACAATAAATAACCATTGCACCTTCTATTCGTTATATCTCCTTCCTAACCACTGTAAAACTTTTGAAGTCGGATATTTAAAAATTCAATAAGAGTACTCAATTCTAATTATTCAATAATTATTTTGTTAGAAAACAAGTAAAGTGGATCGATTCCTAGGCTTTTAAAGGGCTAAGTCGATATGCGACCAGACGAGTCACCTGTTGGTAAGCAATCGGCGCCACCAATGGACACCTGTAACACCAGAGGCGTTACAAGTACATTATAAATTCTTATCAGCATACCTCTAGTTGTACCTAGAATTGTACCCAAACCCAAACAAAACTAGTGCAAGGAATTTAAAAGTCATCACATCAAATAAGCACGGCTTCAACCCAGCAATTAAGTTGTCATTTAAATATGAACTTTAAATCGTTTGTCGTATGATATATTTTTTAACGTCAATACCAAAAGCCGACGGCGGGTTGTAGTCGAGGCGCCAGCGAAACAACATCGCATCGTAGGTAGGTATTGTTGACTATACTCGTGGTAAAGTAAAATAAAAAGCTTCTACTTCGCCGGCGCGCTTACGCCGCGCTGACGCCGCGATGACGATGCGCCGACGGCACGCCAATGCCCCGCCAACATAGCGTCGGAGCCGAGCGTTTTAGATGTGACCTTAACATTTAATGCCCAACTCGACACGCTTCGAAGATTGAAGGTCTTAAGTTGTTATATTCAAATAAAATAAATAAGAAATTTGTATTTCCTTTCGCAGAACATTTAGGAAGTGTCATATATCAAAGGTACCTAAGTCCTACTCATCCTCTTGAAGTAGATCTGTATGAAGTGAATAGCGCACTTTATGATTTCTGAGAAAACTTGTCTCGAGCGAGTGGCTTATTACTTTGAGGAAATCTTTGGTAAATTTGCATACTACTATAATTTTAATGAAACAATTTGCCTGTCTGTTGGATTCACATCACATAAACAGCCTTTAACTCGTCAAGTACCGTCATTATAGACACAATTATAGAACAATAGGTTGCGGTCACCGGTAACCGCTTGGTGTTTCACAGTTTAAATGCCCACTGCTGAGCAAAGCCTCTTCTCACACGGAGAAGGTTAAGCATTAATCACCACGCTTGCTCAATGCGAGTTGGCGAATACAAACTTATAATTTGAAATTATAAACCCAGGTTTCCTCACGATGTTTTCCTTCACCGTTTGTCAGTGGTGTCTAGATAATCTTAGAAAGTACATATAACTCGGAAAAAGTCACATTGGTACTTGCTGTTGGTAGGTTTTGAACCCACACTCATACATGAGAAGCGGGCGTCTTAAACCTTCAGGCCACCACGACAACACGACACGTCTATTGGTTCATGTACATAACTAGCTACTTCCGCGCTGTTTCACACGCTCTGCTCGGCTATTATTGGTCGTAGCATGATGTTTTATAGCCTATAGCCATCCTCGACAAATGCGCTATCCAACACAAAAAGAATTATTCAAATCAGATTTGTAGTTACGGAGATTAGCGCGTTCAAACAAACAAGCAAAAAACAAACTCTTCCGCTTTATATAATAGTATAAGAGTATAAGATTATTTTAACTGCACTGTTGGTTAACTTTTGTTTATACTCTGACTCTCTGACTGCCGATTAAAAAGGGTTTTATATTCAATTCCGAGGTAAAACTGAACAGAGACCTTATACATATTTTTGAAACACGAATACCTCGTGTTTCAGTAAATAATGAGACTCAATAATAAAAAAAAGCATTTTATTCATAAAATGTCATTAAAATCTTCAGTGTGAATACACAATCATTTTATTAATGTAAGCAAAATATGTAGACAAACAAGAATACTTATTAAATAAGCTCTTAACTAGAAAATTATAATCGTACACACCAAAATATATCTGAGTACAAACGCTTGTATAAACTACCCTAAGAGCTTGTCCAGAAAAGGCGAATTTGCCGCGATTCTCTTGCGCGTTTTACGCGCGACCGTTGCGTTCACAAGGTATGTGCCAACGCGCGAGCATTTGGAGAGGAATTCATTCAGTACGAAACATGGAGTTAAACGCTCGCTCTAAAGTTCGCGCGTTAACTGGACGGAACAAGGCGTCTCTAGTATCTCAACTCGCGCGCAATACCTGCGAATCAAGCGCGAGTCGAGTCTGGCGTAGTGCACGAGATTTACGCGCGTATTTTGAATTCGCGCTATGCTTTTGGACGTGATGTATTGTTGTCTAGTATCTCACTAACGCGCGGATCATTTCGCGCCAATCGTTTCGCGGCGAATTCGCCCTTTGTGGACAAGTTCTTACGCTACATAAAAAATCCTCCAATCAATTTTCAACCATAAAGCACAATGATAAGAATAATTATTAATTAAAGTCATACATGTATATGTAGTTTATAGTTTCAACAGTGTCTGCATAATTGATTAAAATAAATGCTCTGACATGCGGATGTTACTAAACTGCAAAATGCATAATGCCTTGCCATGTCGTGTTAACTTACATTTTGAGGTCGTTTATGGATGGGTCACCATTTATTATGTCACATCTTAAACTGTCAAACAACAAGCGGTCACCGGTGACCGCAACCTATTGTTCTATAATTGTGTCTACAAAACCGGTACTCGACGAGTTAATATCTTATTATACAGAGATATACAAAAGTATGATTGATTGGTCCCAATGACCCCAAAAATAGATTATCACATTAGCGACATTTGCCCGTAGCATATGAATTATACGTATTTCGTTCACCCATTGTGACTTTTATACGTACTTAGAACATATTTATTTAAACATTCACATTAAGATAGTCATGTGTTATTATTGGTGTAAATTGTATTATGAAAATAATTGCAAAATCTTTTAATTTCGAATTTACGTCTCCAATAGAGGTACTCCATAATATTAATATTATTGTATGTCTTTACCATTCACGGGACCACAGGCTCCCGGTCATTTGGGAGGCGTACGAGGGGCCGAAGCCAACTACGCAGAGGCCCTTTAGACAACTTTAATCTAAATGTAATGGAGACACAAACCGGCGACTATCCCTGTATGCACTATTATTATTATCTAATGATTAGATTGTCAAGTTGGTTCATGGTAATGCATAGTCGAGCTGTAACAGTATTAGTGATCAGTGATATTGAAAGGTACGTACAGACTGTCTAGCATGTTAAACATAAACCGCCAAAAAATATTGGATTTACAACTGTAACACAAAATAATAAAGCTGAAAATTGAGTAAACACTTTAACAGCACGATGTGCAAGAGTTGGAATATAGGTCAAATCAAATCTCAGCAACAATGACACACCACTGTCTTAATGTGAACAAATTACACATAATTTAGCGAGGAATAAACTTGACATAGATGGGATCCACTGGTCTGAGAACCAAGTCCGCCATGATTCTAGGCCTTGCTCCCTTGACTTTAGGTACAATTTTGAAGTGACGGACCAGCTCGCTAAGTGTGGTTTTCATTTCTTGCATCGCGAATCTTTGTCCTGTGAAAGAAGTAGAAGATTTAGAAGTATATGTAGATGTTGTCATTGGGGTAGGTCTATGTTCAGCAGTGGACGTCCTATGGCTGATATTATGATGATGATGATGATGTAGATATTGTATAACCAGATACATAATTTTTTTTTTTTCAAAATAAAGTCAGACCAGTAAGGCACTTTTGAACGTCAACAACAAAAATTTAGAAGTGAAGCTAGTTGCTCATTTCATGGTAGATTCCTATGGAGAAGAACGAGCAAGAAACTCCATAGGTTACTCTTTTTCAATCGGGTTTACAATACAATTCTCTAGTTACATAGTTTTGTTGGTTCGGTATCGGAACGTTGGAATTGTGCACCAGAGGTCATCAAAAATATTTTAGGATGTCTAAAATTAACTCCTTTAGTCAAGCTAAGGAATTGGGACAACCAACCTAAAGGCTTGTACACAAAACTGCGATGCGATGCGATACGAATTCGCAACGCATTGATGCCTACGGCCACTTTTTATCATCGCACCGCTCGCCATCGGCAGGGGGTTCACGCTCACTCATTGGAGCCAAAATGGTCCCGTACAGTTCGGTTTCAGAGGAATTTTCTCCCACGGACCCTCCGATTGTGGAATGAGCTCCCTGCCGTGGTTTTCCCAGTGGGCTACAACATGAGGTTCTTCAAGAGGGCGGTGAATAGGTTTTTTAAGGGTCGGCAAGACGCATGTAATGCCCCAAGTGTTGCAGGCGTACATAGGCCACGGTAACCGCTTACCATCAGGTGGGCCGTGTGCTTTTTTGCCACCGTCGTGGTATAAAAAAAAAAAAAAAAAAAAAACGCAGAAAATTACGACACGAATTGACAAGGCATCTCCCAGAATGACCATTCCTTCGACGACCGTCAACCGTAATAAACGTATTTTAAATTGACAACTAGGTCGTGACATGGATCGTAAAAAGAAGTGTGCACTTTTGTTATTGCTTAGGAGATACAGGAAAAAGAAATAGAAGATTTTGGGAAGATAATTTTTTTATGCGCGATGCGAATCAATTCGCAAGTCCTTGCGATGCATAGAGGGAGCTCACACATTTTTGAGATGCGACGTCCCATCGCAGTTTTGTGTACGAGCCCTAAACCCAGATTGTAATACAACTAAGATTTGGTAACCTAATAATATACTTTGCACCTCAGACAATAAAATAGGAGGTAAAGTATACCCACCAATGCAATTTCTAGGTCCAGCGCTGAACGGCACGTAAGCGTAAGGATGTTTCATCTCCGTGCCGAGGAACCGCTCCGGCATGAACTTCTCCGGCTCCGGGAACATGTCAGCGCGACGGTGCAGCTCGTAGATGTGGACGTCCACTGTCGTACCCTTCTTCACTGTTATGTCACCTAAGGAGGAAACAAAGGAGTATGGTTAATTTGGTCAAAGTCTAAAAATAGATAGATCTGATCACCAGTGGACATTCGCAACACCACCTTTGTTTTGTAACTCCTTTAAATACTTGTAGGTAAATTAAAAAGAAATACGCTCTTTTCTTAAATGCATCAACGTCGTATCAGTTCGAAGGCAATCTTGAACAAATGTACGACTGTACGTACGTATTTCTAAGTGTTACAAATCAAAACTGTTTGTCCCTAAAGTGATATACATAAATTTTAAGAATGAGAAAGCCATGCTTCGGCACGAATGGGCCGGCTCGACCGGATCGATACAACGGCCTCAAAGAAAACCGACGTGAAACAACGCTTGCGTAGTGTTGTGTCGTATGAGAAAACTTACCGGAGGCCCAATAACCCCCCCCCCCTTATCTCCCCAATCCTCAAAACCCCACAATCCTAAAATTCTCAATTCCCAAAAGGCCGGTAACGCCTCTGGTGTCCATGGGCGGCGCCGATTGCTTACCATCAGGTGATCCATTTGAAAATTTACCGGCTTATCCTATAAAAATATTATAGGTGACATCTAGTTTTGGCCAGTTATATTACAAGACCCATGTAAAGGGGACGAATATACTTATAGTTGTTTATCACTTATCACGTAGAGGAACCGTCTATTGTCTAATCTAATATTTGGCTCATGAGCGTCCCTCAGCGTCGTAAATCAAACGATATTTCCTAGTATTTATAGAGATCCTCCAGTCTAAGGAGGTACATATAAATATTGAGTGACAGGCCCCAGTGGGACGCATCTGGAAGTGCCGCTTATCTCTAGCCTTGTGACAACGTAGAAATAGTGGCAATATACATACATACAATCAGACATACATCATGTCAAGAAGTAAGAAACAAACGTGATCTTAAGTGTTTCCTGTCAAAAGGTACCTAAGGTTGGCTGTAAAAAGACATAATTATTTGTTCAGCGACGGATTGGGCACACAATGTAATACACGTTTTGCCTATTAGATTCAGTTACTTAAATGGAAATGACTGGAGATTCTTTTTAAAACTCAATTAAATACTAAATCCTTTTTTTCTTGGGGGGGGGGTCATCTGATGACTTCTCCCGCCTTGGGTTAGGAGAGAGAGACTGTGTCAGATTGTTACTGACTAAAAACCACCCCGTTCCTACTACTGCTCTTCGAACCGGAGCCCCGTTAGGCCTTCCGTACTTGGCATCAGCCCTATTGTGGCCCTACAGGTGGGGACCTGTGGTGATCTGATGGCTTTTTGAGGGGAAAAATCATCCAATGACTTCTCCCGCCTTGGGTTAGGCGAGAGGGAACTCGCCCTCCGCAGACCTGCACCTACTGTGGCCGGAGATCGCCGCGCAATCCCTAAAAGTACTCTATGACAGACTCTAGACTTAAATCTATTAAACCTTGGATGCAATCAAACTTCTATTCGATACAAACAAGAACTGAAATGTTTGTTTTAGTTTCATCCAAATTGTTATACACATATAGTTCATAATCCTTAATTAAGATTGAGATAACTTTCGACAACAGTATCGCGGATTTGTATTCGAAAGTGCTAAGTTATTATTCACGCTAACTAAAGTGTATAGAGGATAATCGATGTTTGATACACTTCAACGAAATTTGTCAAAGGATTTACATTCTAAAAGTTAAGAACGAGTTTGGTTAATCGCTTTAATTAAAGCCGTTCTTTGATCAGACTTAAAGACTATGTTAGCAACGCTGTGATTTGCTAGAACGTGAACATGATCTTGGAGGTTTAAAACTAAGGCTTCTCATGCATGAGGATGCGGGGTCGAAACCTACCAACAGCAAGTACCAATGTGACTTTTTCCGAGTTATATGTAGAAAGAAGAAAAGAAGAAGAAAAATAGTTTATTTGCACACCGTCACAAGGTACAATAACAAAAAATATAAAACAATATAACAAAGACGGCGCAAAAAGGCCAGAGCTCAGCTTAAATGCCGCGACACGAGTGTGGTCGAGTCGCGGCGCTGATTTTCAGCACTTGCCCGTGACTTATAATATTATACATATAATAACAAAAAAAAATATATATATATAGGTACATACAAATTAAAATAAACAATGTGATGAAAATAAAAAAAAATGTACTTTCTAAGATTATTTAGACACCACTTACAAACCGTGAAGGAAAACATTGTGAGAAAATCTAAAATTGCATTGGGCAAGCGTGGCAATTAATGCTCAAACCTTCTCCGTGTGAGAAGAGGCCTTTGGTCAGCAGTGGGCATTTCCAGGCTGTTGATGTTTGATGTTGTTGTTGTTAATCTTGGAATCTGAACAAATATTATTTGATACATCAGAATTGTCTCTAAGAATGGAATCTGGAATTATGCCCAGGAATACACACATCCACATAAGAGCAAAACTAAAATCTTAAATGTGTATCCCTTTGTGGGATAAAAGGTATGTCCTTTTGGAAGTTGAACGGGAAAAGACTTTGTATTTTATTTCTTTATTTCGTTATAACATGGCTACACAAAACCTATACAAACCAGTATAACCTGACCGCTAGACGTGCAAAAAGATCATACAAAACGAGTCCATGATAAGCTGGTTTTAATAGCTTGGTGTGTGTCTATTTCACACGAAGCGAGGAGATGACTTATCTAATCACAATAGTGAGCTCCCTGACCTAATTTTACGTCTAGCAATCAGACGCGGATTGTAGAGAACGTATTCTAGCTTAGAGATGTCATCCAGCTACAAAAATCTGATCTGAGATATATTGTACGATTGATAAGGTTGCATAGCAACACGTATTTTATCTCAAACTGATATTATGTGTATAAATATAATTTATTATGTAGGTACTATCGGTAAAATATACGCTAGTTAACTTTTAAATAAAATTTTGTGGCAAACTCGCAAACCACCGCCTAATGGTGGTCGACCGCCAACTATGTCAATTGTACCCGCTATCCAGAAGAATTTTTTTATGGAATAGTAGACAAACGAGCAGAAGGATCAACTGATGGTAAGCGATCAGGTGATGACGCTGCCTTTGGACACCCGCAACATCAGAAGAGTTACAGGTGCATTGCCGGCTTTTTAAAAAGGAATACGCTCTTTTCTTAAAGGTTAAGGCGGTTCGGAAATACCGCCGACGACAATAAAGAGTTAGTCCGATAGATGCGTACTATACTGTGAGAAACTTGAAATCCCTACTTTCCACCCGTTATGTTAAATCATTTATTTCAATTAAAGTACTTAAAAGCACTGTACGTGAGCATGCTTTAATTGAGCACTCGTTACATCATGTGTGTCGGAATATTGCTCAAAAGTGTGGGAGAGCCATGCTTCGGCACGAATGGGCCGGCTCGACCGGAGTGATACCACGGCACAACGTAAAACAACGCTTGCGTTGTGTTTCGTCGTGTGAGTGAGGTTACCGGAGGCCCAATTACGCCCCTCCCTAGTTTCCCGAATCCCCGAATCCTCCACAATCCTCAAATTCCCAATTCCCAAAAGGCCGGCAACGCACTTGTAACGCCTTAGTGTTTCGAGTGTCCATGGGCGACGCCGATTGCTTACCATCAGGTGATCCGTCTGCTTGTTTACCGACTAATGCTAAATTTGCATGCTCATTTCAGTGCCTTTAGCCAAACGCCACTTTAGCGCTTGTCTACAGAGAGAGTAGAAAACTAAATATATGGGGATGACACTCACAAGTGTCACCACAGGACCAATCTACATGTGTAGTTAAGATAACATTATATTTACCCCTTATTTACCTTGCTAACACAAGCGCAACTAAATTGGCAAAGAAGATTGTTGAATTTCTTAGTAATACTAACACATATTACTATGAACCAATATATTGGTCAAACCATGTCTATGAGGTAGTTTGTTAATCTTTGACTTAAAATACTGAACATGTAAAAGTAGTGAAAGAAAAGACTTGACTATGCACTAGATGACGGTGGCCTCGTTATGAACTCTGTTGGACAATTTTTCCACCTGACCTGACTGAATGATAAGGGCGAATTTAAAAAGCTGAATGCCAATCTTCTGGGATAAAGTGACACCGCAGGAAAATCAAATATCTAGATAACTATACACAAAAAGTGAATTTAGTATAGATTACACCACATATAGGTTTCATTGTACCCCTCAAAATGTAAGATCTCCGTAGAATCTGATAGGTACTTAACGCAAACAAAGTCGCAGGCGGAACTAGTAATAAAGTAATAATTAATAAACTATTATTAGGATTAGATATAAACTTTCAACAAAACACAAACTTGGGCGTCCCAACAATGTTGTTTGATAACATCACACCTGATATTCTATGTAGGTGTTCACAAAATCGTTGCTACAATGAACCGATATTTTGTCTTTGAGTCTTTGGTACTTAATATTCAGTAATCGAATTATAACAAAAACAATAACACGACATTTACGGCCAGGCCACGAGGATTGGCGGCGCGAACGGTGGAGCGGCGGGCGACGCGTATATTCGCGCGACGGACTTCGCAGTCCACGAACATCGACGTTTGCCGCCACGACCACAGAACATGTTATTATAAGAGCATATTATAACTGATTATAGCCAACCTCATATAAAACAAAGCTAAAACAGTAAAATCCTAATGAACTTTCGTTTTCCTGAATGTTGGCTACCGCAGATTACGGACTATGTACAAAATTAATTCAAAGTTTCATAAGACTGGCGCTGTACTAATACATTCATTTATTACACTCGCCGGCGCAATTTGCTCAGGTACACTTCGCTGGTTGCCGCTTTCCCTGGCTTGATCAGTATATTTCTATGTGTTTGTTTCAGTCGCTAGCCGCCTCGCAGGTCGCACCGCAAAGATTATCGCTCGCAAGGACGAATGTTTCGTAGCCAGCCTGTTATTCCTCGAAGAAGTATCCACAGGTGCACATATTATTAAATTAAATTAGGCAGAAGTGGATTTAACCCTGAGAGCGCCCTAAGCAAGCACCTTATTGGCGCCCCTACTCTTTTTTTATATGAGCACGCTCGTCTCGCGGCGTTGGTGCCTCTCTGTAACCTAGCGCCTTAGGCTCTTGCCTAGTTTGCCTTAAAGATAATACGGCTCTGTAATTAGGTAAATGATAACATGACTCAATGTTTAGCTGTCATCATTTACTTGTCTTATTATGTACACTAGAGTGAGTCTTGCCGTGCACCAACCAAAATACTAGATTCTAATTTATTCTTTAGAAATTTAAAAAGCCAATAATACGTTCGTCAAGACTCCATTGTTAGGCAAACGTGCTTGCTAATTTGCATTGACTTGATCAACAAAGCAATCATTTTTTTATAAACAACGTTTAAAAAAACCGACTTTAATCCTAATTTTTTAAAATTTTTAAACTAAAACGTTATCCTAAGTGTACGAAGCACTTTACTGAAAACCGCATCAAAATCGGTTCAGCTAATCCTGAGATAATCTCGTACAAACATACATACAGGTCAAACTATTATTTTTTACATAACATAACATCACGCCTTCTATCCCCGAAGGGGTAGGCAGAGGTGCACATTATGCCTCTGTACAATGACATGTAATAGGGGTTGAGGTGAGCCTTACTGAGATTTTTTTTAAAACCCAGTAATACTTTGCCCAACCCGGGAATCGAACCCGAGATCCCTTGCCCGGTAGTCGCACTTGCGACCAC